CCTGGCCCCCATCATTATTTTAGAGTGTGTTCCTTCTACTGTAAAAAAAATGTTAACTGTAAAACAGCCTCAGGGCAGTCACTTCAGGAGGTATTCCAGAAGAAGGCATGGTCATCACAAGAGATAGCAGCTCCGTGTGTGTTAGTGTCCCTGAACACCTTCCAGAGGGACAAGATGTCGGAGGTGGGGCCAAGTGCTGTGGCTCATGCCTGCAATCCCAGCAGTTTGGGAGGCCAAGGCAGGAGGGTTGTTTGAGCCCAGGAGTTTGAGACCAGCCTGGGAAACATCATGAGACCCATCTCTTCAAAAAAAAAAAAAAAATTAACCGCCATCGTGGTACACACCTGTAGTCCCAGCTAGTTGGAAGGTTGAGGCAGGAGGATTGCTTGAGCCTGGGAAGTTGAGGTTACAGTGAGTTGTAATGGTGCCACTGCACTCCAGCCTGGGGGACAGAGTGAGACCCTGTCTCAAAAAAAAAAAAAAAAGAAAGTGGCACTGTCAATTCCGTTGTATAGATGTGCCATGATTTAACCAATTGTGTAGTTTTTGTTCCCTTTGTTTGCATTTATTACAATGTGGCAATGAGTATCCTTTGCTTGAAATTTTAAAGAATCTTGCCTGATAATTTCCTTAGGAGAGAGTCGTAGAAAAAAAATATTATCTCAGAGGATATGAATGCACTGAAGCTCTTGACACGTATGGCTTCAATTTTTTTCCCAGAGACTTTGTGCCAATTTATCTCTCAGTGATAACATATGAGAGTGGCCATCACACGGGGGCCTAGTGAGGACTGAGAACTAGACAGAAGAACAAGAAAACAATATATCGTTGCCAATTTGATAGGTGAAAATGACCTTATTGTTTTAGTATATGTAGCCAATGCTCTCAATGTTTCCCCAGTTCTTAGTGCTAACCTTGCCCATCCAGGGAAACTGTGTTCCCCCATCTGTTGTCTACTTCACTCTCTTTCACAGCCGGCTCTCTGATTTCACAGCTTAAAATCATGTTGTTTCCATATTTTAAAAAGATATATAACTGCATCCTATTGGTTTTTTCCCTTATTGCTTATTTGTTCATATTTTAAACTTCCTTATGTTTAATTTTATTTAGTAGTGGCCAGGTGCGGTGGTTCACGCCTGTCATCCAAGCACTTTGGGAGGCTGAGATGGGTTGTCTAAAAGTATGACGCTTACATTTACATATAGCACCTAATACTTAATAATGATAAAGACTATGCTGCTGGTTTATGTACTTACTACATAATGCTCTTTAATTTAATGGTTGGTCTTACCTCATAAATC